TTTTTACAAAGTTCTCAATATGGAAGATTAGATAAAGAGCTGACAGTTCTCGCTATATTAGTTAAAACTAGATAATGTAAAGGGGAAATTGATCCACCCTGAACTGAGTATTTGGCGATTGTCATTACTATAGTCGGTACGATAAAAAAAACAAGATAGTCTCAATTAACCATTTTTACATTTAATCACCAATGAGCGTTAAGCATCAGACAGGATTCAAATCCAGTGAAAATCGAACAAATTAAATGGCATCGAGAGTTGTTGATTAGATAACATTTCAGGCCCGAAGAAATATCTGCCATAGCCGTATTTAGCTCTTGCATAATGTATGTTTAATTAAATGATAATCAGAATAAATCGGGGTGTTTGCAGGGTTTATTCCCGCGAAGGCGCAGTTATTGACCGTAACGGATTAAAAAAAGGTCGTTTTCGACGACTTCGCAGGAATCCAGCCCTAAGGATTAAAATGGATTAAATTGGATTAAAAACGTAAAAATGGTGTTATAGATTGTTATAAGAATTTACACTTTCATAATCCCGACTGACACTAATTAACCAACATTTCAGCATCAGATAAGAAATAAAAAAAAACATACCTATACTATAATATTACAAAAATTAATTTAATTTCGTCAAATAAATAAAAAAACATAACTATACTATAACAAAAATTAATTTAACTTCGCCAATAAAAACAACTATAATATAACAAAAATTAGTTCAATTTCGTCAAATAAGACACCCTGTCTAAATACTCGACTAATGTCATTCATTTTGCTGGTGTCTTCGTTTCAATTCCTCGAGCTGGCTTTGAATTTGAGCATATTTATATCTTTTCTTTGGTGGTTCCTATCCCTCAGCATATTGGACGATTCTTATCTTATTAATATTTTGTTCTTGTTGCAAAAATGTGATCAATTCAAAAACACTAGGGTGGGCTTTTCCAACTAGCTTCTTGACCCTCCGCGATTTGTAGGTACAAAGCTGAATGCAAGTTGTGCGTTTGCCATTGTAGAATATTATCTGAATTTCGGATAGTGTAACGGGATTTTATATCTTTAAAAATGACACTGATTGTGTGAGTGAGCGAATAGGTGAACATTACTTGGGTGATTTGATGATATTCATCATTAGTTGTCAATTGGTGAATAAAATTCAGAGTGAACATAAATTCATAAAATCTTTAACACCGTTAATTGGGTCCTAATAACAACATGTCTCTCTTCAAACGAAAGCCGACACGTCGATATCTGCGCCTTCGCGGGAAGGATTAATTTTGGTCACGCTCTGTAACTGCGCCTTCGCGGGAATACACCGTTAAACCATATCATAATTAATTCTATTTGCATCGTGATTAAATGCATGTATTTATATATAACCCCCTTTATGTTAATGTGACACGTTTAGCGATGTTCACAGTTTATACATTCAAATTTCTAGATTAAAAAAATGAAATGAAATGAAATATGGTTTAACGTCCTACTTTTCTACACAAACTGGGCTTGTGAAGACGGGTATACACCATTTAAAATTCCAACTACCAGGGGCTCTTTTACGTGTACGCAAATATGAAATCTCGATCTCAGTTTTCCGTACCCTCCGAATGACTAGACAGTGTTCCTTGCCATGTCCGCGAATCACGTATCTCCTGATTAGTGACAATTCGCCTTTACTAACTGGGCCATATGTTAGCGCTGCCCAGTCGATATTCCCTTTGCCAACAATTAATAATCAATAATATTGCCTTAACGTTTGGATTTCTTATGATATATTTGTTCCCTAATCTTTATGTTTTAAACATATATTATGCAAGTATTAAATCTGCCTATTGCAGGTCTTTCTTTGGGCCTGAAATGTTATATAAACTATTAATTAGACATTAATTAACTTATCCAGGTCATAATCAACACTCGATGCCATCTTATGTGTCGGATTTTCACTGGATTTAAATCCTATTTGCCGCTCAACGCTTATTGATGATTTAATCCAAAAATGGATAATCGAGACTATGCTTTTTATCGTACCGACATTAGTAATGATGATCGAGGCTAGGCCTAAAATTCAAAAGCTAATATCTCGGTTCAGAGTGGATCAATTTAACTGAAATTTTTAGCATATTCCCTTTACATTATCTGGTTTTTAACTATTATAGCGAGAACTGCAAGCTCTTTATCTAATCTTACATAATGGCCCTTTAATTAAAAATAAATTGAAACATTGGACTTTAGTAATGATGATCGAGGCTAGGCCAAAAATTCAAAAGGCTATATCTCGGTTCAAAGTGGATCAATTTGACTGAAATTTAGCATATTCTCTTTACATTATCTGGTTTTTAACTATTATAGTGAGAACTGCCAGCTCTTTATCTAATCTTCCATAATGGCCCTTTAATTGACATATTTAAACCGTACTTACCTATTATATCAAGTTTAGGTGAAAATGACTTTAATAATAGTAAGAATCCTTAAAAACAAATAGTTTACAGGGCATCTGTATGTTTCTTTATATATTTGTAAAGTGAAAGTACATACACCCCGTGGAGTTGAGTTACATCATATATTATGTAGATATCACGTAAGTAAAAAATATAAGCTTTACTTTATTGTTTACATGAAAAAAGAGTGATGACGTATAACGACGGTTAATGAGTCTCATAATCCCTTCTCAATTCTAGCGTAAAATGGCCTCCATTCATAAACAGCTATTCAATGTGAAATTACATTAAACATTTCACTACACTTTAAACAATAACTTTATGAAAAGTTCGATGTCTCGTCACCACAATCATTAGTCAAATTTTGACTATGAAATAAACAGCTATTTCAATATGGAATTACATTAAACATTTCACTACACTTTAAAGAATAACTTTATGAAAAGTTTGATGTCTCGTCACCACAATAATTAGTCAAATATTGACTATGAAATAAACTTCCTGAATAATTATAAAAGAGACTCGATGACAGTATGATCTTTAGTTATGCACAGCCCATCCCACATTCATGGCACTATATAACGTAATATTAAAATCGTTCGATAGGTCTACACTTTTCTCACTTTCTTTCAATATATATGAATGATTTTTTGATTTGAGTAATTAACTGAACTAATATCGATATTGCTGTAGGCGATCATTAAAGTCAAGTCCTATCATTCATTATAAGTCAAAATCAAGAAGATATTAAACCGGCGATAGTGGTGGTATGACGGGTTTCTCTAGTTCGTTTAACATTGAAACGACGCGGATAAATGGAATGAAATGAAATGAAATGGGGTTTAACGTCCTACTGTTCTGCTCCTATACTGGGCTAATGATGACGGGCATACGCCATATAGTGTGCTATGAGGGAAATTTTGCCCGGGCAGCGGCACTATCGCCTACTCTTATATCGAATTCCAACTGCCAGGGGATCCTTTACGTGCATTCCAATATATACACGGGACCTCAGTGTTTCGTATCATCCGAAGGACTAGACTGCTGTCCTTGTCAGGCCCTCCGTCCTGCATCACTGACAAGAGGGAACCACGCCGGAAAATCTGGATGAACTTTCTCAGCCAATACAGGGATCGAACACCCGACCTCCAGGCTTTTCAGTCCATTCCTGGAATTGATAGCACAAGGGCTGTACACACGGATCGTATAACCATTTCTGACCTAATATTAGGGTCCAAATTCTTAACGATTAGATGTATCGAAAAAACTTTTAACCCCAATGAAGATGGTGCAAAGACATACCAAATGAACAAAATTGCACTTAAAAAAGGAACGCTAAACTGATGTTTGGAATTCTTAACTTTAAGAATAGAATTAAGTAACCCTGAAAACCTTAACAGATATACTTTAAGAGCAATACCCAGATGGAAAAATATCGCTAGCATGAATTCTATTTTGATCGCCGTTTTAAATTTATACCATCTTGCCTATTCAAAGTTAGATTTAGGAGTCAGAATTGAACCCAGTAACCTCAAACACCTTATACAAGACATATTACAAGCCATGTACAACGGAAGAAAATGACGATTAATTAAAAATCCGCCATGTTGGACTTCATTCTAGCGGCCATTTTGGATTTCGAAATTAATTTTTTGAGATCAGAATTCAAACAAATAACATTTGAAACCATGTGAAAGACATGTTACAAGTCGTATCCAAAAGCGAAAAATAAAGATTAATTTTAAATCCGCTATTTTGGCAGCCACTTTGAATTTCTACCATAATAAAAGTTATTTCTTATGAGATAGTGACTGGTTATATACGGAAACAATGCCATTTTATTACCAAATTTGGCAGCCATTTTGAAAGAATGACTGATACTGCGTGAAAAATAATTTTTAAAAAATGGTTTGGTCAAATTTGCTATTTTCGGAATATTTCGCCTCTATGACCAATTTGTATTCTAAGATTTTAATAAAAATCTATGTATTGACCTACCGCTGAAAGCACTAGTTAAAAATATCACTCCCAGAAACTTTTTTAAGACCGCCATATTGAATTACATGTATGTTAATTACGTCATTTCGCCTTGTCTGATATAAGTATGATGACTGAACCAAATTGCATTGGTTTCTTTTGGGGGGAGGGGCATAGCCGAATAGTTAGCGCATGCGCACTGTATCATAACGTCTGTCATTGAGTTAACTGGCGTGGTTTCGATTGATCCACTATGAGCCGAGAAAGAAGCGGGTGAAATTTTTGCATAGTCTCGGTCATCATTACTAAAATCATTAATATAAACAGCATAGTCTCGATTATCCACTTTTTCTGATTTAATTATCTTTGGCCGTTAGCGGCATATAGGAATCTAATCCAGCCTACATCGAAGGCTAGCCTTGACATCGAGAGTTTATTATGGTCTGGATAAGTTAATTAATGTCTAATTGATAATTTAGATAACATTTCAGGCCTAAAGAAAGACTTGTAATAAGCAGATTTTGCTTTTGCATAATGCATGTTTAATATAGCCTGTGTTTAGAGGTTAGCCTATGGAAGTTGTACTTACTGTGTGAGACAGACTGGGGGAGAATGTCTCGTCGACACCAGAAAGGAAGGTTAGTTCCAGTGATTTGATAACTAAATGGAGAATCAAACCTGGACCAGACACCTAAGCCGAATGCAATGAATATTGGTCGATTAACTTATTGATTATTTGAAAATATCAAACTGAATTTAACATGAAGTTTTACATGTATTTACTTGTTTTTTGTTAAATTAATACAACAATATGTTACCAACTCATCTATTTTGATTCTGATTTCCATACAGAATATTAATTATTATTTCAGAATATAATTTTTTTAAATTATTTCAAGATAGGAAGAAATTACCTTCAATAAAACTAACAGGGGCTTCTTTCACGCCATGACCTACTGTTAGATCGAATTCCAACTGCCAAGGGTTCTTTTACGTGCACGCCCATGTGCACATGGGACCTCGAATTGGGGGTCACGGTGGCCAAGTGGGTCAGACGCTGGCTCGCTAGCCTGGAGGTCGGGTGTTCAATCCCTGCATTGGCCGATAAAGTTCATCCAGATTTCCCGGCATAGTTCCCCTTTGTCAGTGATGCAAGGCGGAGGGCCTGAAAAGGACAGTTGTCTAGCTGTTCGGATGGGACGAAAAACCGAGGTCCCGTGTACACATTTGCGTGCACGTAAAAGATCCCTTGGCAGTTGGAATTCGATATAAGAGTAGGCCGTAGCGCAGCTGCCCGGGCAAAATTTTCCTCATAGCACACTGTATGGCGTGTGCCTGTCTTCATTAGCCCAGGTTAGGAGCAGAACAGTAGGGCGTTAAACCCAATTTCATTTCATTTCATTTCATATATAAAGCTATGAAAATACTATGTTACAAACGCAAAATGAATATGGATGTATTTTATCGACTTTATCATGACATAGAATATTGTTTTATATTTTGAGATTGTAATACAAAATATTTTCTTTTGATGTCAATTGTTTTTAATATACTGATGTTTCAATAATAAAAAAAAATATAAAAAAAAGATAGTTTAGGGTAAATTTAAAAATCTATTTGTGTTCCGGCTGATCTAAAATTCGAACATTTAGAATTCTCTTTCATTATTAAAAAGAACTATTTGTCTCCACTTATAATATTTCCAGAAAACAGTTAACCTTTCAAAAGTGTTTGAATTTGAATGGATAAGTACTGGTAATCTACAAGTAGGCCTATCTGTTTAAATAGCTAATCCATCAATAGACATTATTATTAGTACGCATAGCTTACTAATACTACCTTTTCCGACGTGGTTTCCCCCTTGTCAGTGGTGCAGAACGGAGGGCCTGACAAGGACAGCTGTCTAGTCCTTCGGATGAGACGAAAAACCGAGGAATCCGTGTATACATTGGAATGCACGTAAAATATCCCTTGGCAGTTGGAATTCGATATAAGCGTAGGCGATAGTGCCGCTGCCCGGGCAAAATTTCCCTCATAGCACACTGTATGGCATATGCCCGTCTTCGTTAGCCCAGTATAGGAGCAGACCAGTAGGACGTTAAACCCCATTTCATTTCATTTCATTTCATTTTATTTACTAATACTACCGTGGCAAAACGAAACGCTGTTCTATATACCGGAACTATACTCTTCAAAAAAAAAGTAGGGGATATTGAAATGCAAATGCCTGTGCAGGTTGTGATATGATAAATAGTCATGGACACTTGACATGCTTTGAAAGTATGTTCACAGATGAAGAATTTATCGCCCCAACAAAACCACTGAGCTGCATACACGTCGGAGGTGTTCATTGTCAAATTTGACACTTCAAGGAAGGGTTGATGAAAACAGTCGCTTGCTGGTTTATCCTATCCATGTTTGCTTTCCTATCGGTTCTTGCATGAGATTTACTGTTTAGCATATCTTTGCTTTAGTGTGTTACGTTTAATTTGATCGGGAGACGTGTTCGTCGGCGTCAACGTCAACCGACAACACTGCAAGAATTAGCCGTGGCACTGCAAGAGAAGTGGGTCAGATTGCCCTAAATCGTGATTGGACGGTTGATTAGGAGCATGCCGCGACAAATTGCTGAACGTCTGATGATTGGTGGAGCAATTACTCATTATTAACACAAAAATCAAAAACGTCCATTTTCACTTTTGACGGTGTGTCTCTTTGTGAGTGAAATGGGGCCGTCAGATAAGCCGCCCATATGAACTGGTTACCTCTAATAAAAACAGCAGTGCATTTTCGCAGTTTTGTATTGTTTCTGAATATCCCCTACTTTTTTTTTTGAAGAGTATATAAACAGCTAGAGGTCGACACTCTAGACCGCTAGGCCAGCTCTTCATGAAATTCTGCTTGTATGTCATCCACTGAAATATAACAAGTGGCATGTTGAAAAAACACACACCTGAAAGACAATAAAACAAAATTAGTGCTTTTGAAAGGTAATAATCATTTCCTTGTATAATCAACTGTTATTCAGTTTAAGGATACATTTAGACGCCTTATATTACGCGCTGGAACAAGTACCAGTGCATTCCGTGACAATGTAGTTGGAATGGACGACACAGCAATCATTCAAACTTCGACATTTTAAGAGATATAATGTTCATTCTCGCTAATCTACAGGTATTCTGAATAGATCAAAAACACAGAAATATCTGCTTCGTATACAATCTGATTAAAGCATAGATCCTATTTCGTTTCGTTTTTTATAGTTCAAAGTTTCGTTTTACTTGTCTTTATTACACTAGGATCTGGAAGGGTTGTTAACCCGCGTTCTGGGTGGCGTGAGGGATTAGCCAATGAAACAATTTGTTGCGGCGACTTCATGGCGCGCGATGCACTGTACTGTACTGTGGATAAACCACTAGAAATGTCAACGCTGATTGATTAATCAATGTCCGACGTCATAGGGTCCAAAGTCACTCGTACGACCCCTGACGTGACCTTCCGATACAACTGGCCAGATCTTCATGTAGTGTAAGCCATTGAAAAAAAAAACGAAACGAAATATAGATCTGTAACCAGATTACTTCGTATAAGTACATCAAGTTATACAAATCAAAAACATAACGAATAAGACTTATTTGAATATAATCGTCTTTGCCAAATTGAAGTCATTATCTCCCGTCATGATGAGAATGCTAAATTTGGCGTTAGGTAATGCTGATTTATTATTATTATTTATTTATTTATTTAAATTGCACAATAAATGACTTTTTTTGTGTCTGCAAACTTGAACAAGTTAGACACTATGTGCATGCTGTAATATAGTCAAATTTTTAAAAAAAAGTAATAAATAATTGATACAAATATTTCTTTTAAAGGTTAAAATGAATAATTTTAATTGATTTGACATAATGGGCATTTCCATTAGGTATCAAAAGAAGAAACCTCGTCAGCTAGAAATTATGTTTAACGGTATTTAACGTCCTACTGTTCTGTTCCGACTGGGCTAATGAAGACGGGCATACGCCATACCGTGTGCTATGAGGGCAGTCTTGCCGGGCAGTGGCACTATGGCCTACTCTTATATCGAATTCCAGCTGCAAAGGGATCTTTTACGTGCATGCCAATGTATACACGGGACTTCAGTTTTTCGTCCCATCCAAATGGCTAGACAGCTGTCCTTGTCAGTCCCTCCGCCCTGCACCACTGACAAGGAGAAACCACGTCAGAAATCTTAGTATACAATAAAGCGTTAGTCGTTACCAGTAAATATATCAAAACATGCAGAATGCATAAAATTAGATGTTATTTCCTAATTTGGTCGAGAGAGAGAGAGAAATGGGGTTTAACGTCCACTCGACACAAACTAGGTCATTTCGGGACTATCATATGGTTCAATTTTATTTCAATAATACGCTTGCTCGTAGGGGTCCTTAGCAGTGGGAGGAAACCGGGGGACCCGGAGAAAACCCACGAGGTTGGACAGGCGACCCTACTCCTTGTCACGTACAACCGGGGATTCGAAACCACGCCAGTCGACTCAATGACAGACTTTATGATACAGCGCGCGCACGCTAACCATTCGGCCATCCACCCCCTCTAATTTGGTCGAGTTGACCACTATTTGACAATATGGATCCATTTAGACTTTACCGAGTTCAGTTATGAACATTTCCTTACTTGACAACAATTGAGCCTTTGGGCTTTTTTGATTCCATGGATCTTTTTTTTTTTTTAACATTTCCCAACTTGACTCCATTGGGCGTATACATTTCCATCATAGCACACTGTATGGCGTATGCCCGTCTACATTATTCCAGTGGGAGCAGAGCAGTAGGACGTTAAACCTCCATTACATTTCATAATCTAATTTTAAAAGAATACGGCTTCCTTTCTGTAAATAATGTTTGTTCATGTTACTGAATTTAACAGCCCCCCCCCCCCCCCTTGCCACCTTTATTAAAATACAGATCTATATTTCGTTTCGTTTATTATACTTTTGATGGCCTCAAATACATGATGATCTGACAAGTTGCAGTGGGAGGTTGCGTCAGGGGTCGTACGGGCGGCTTTTGACCCTTTGATGTCAGACATTGATTAATCAATCAATGTTGGCCTTTCTAGTGGTTTACCCACACTTCTGTTCATCAAACGCCAAGAACTCGCCGTAACAGGCCGTTTCATTGGCTAATCCCTCCTTCCAACCAGAACGCCGGTAATATAACAACTGTTCCAGATCCTAGTGTAGTAAAGACAAGTAAAACGAAACTTTTGAACTATAAAAAAACGAAACGTAATAGAATCTGTGTTTTAATCAGATTGGTACCACCCCACCCCCACCCCACCCCTTCTCCCCCATAGAAATAAATAAACTGGTATGAACATCTATTTAGGTACATGTCAATATCAAATTCCACCTATTGCACCATTTGTTAAACTTTGCTAAACATTCCTTCAGAACAATCCCGTTTCAAAATCTTTTTTGTAATACCATGTACTTTAAAATCGCTTAAAAGCTAATTTCCACATTTGTGTTTTTGGTAGCAACCCATACGAGATTTGATATGCAATCAAAAAATGCACGTTTGATTTTCTGTGTATAATAACGTTGTTTTGGAATTACAGTTTTATTTGTTTATCCAAGAAAGAATTTGATTTTGTTTTATTTTTGTATCGAGTTCGTGAT